CTTCAGCAGGCTCGGGAGCGCCGGCCTGCCCGGCCGCGGGTGCTGGAGTGATCCCTGCAGGATCCCAGGTGGCCTCGGAGCGCTCGTTAACGTGAGCCGGTGCCGGCTGAGCCCTCAGCAACAGCCTCGTGTGCGCGGAGCCGGGCGGGCGGCTGGGGAGCAGGTGGTGGAGGAGGCGCTTCGCGAGAGCACGAGGGCCCCACGGCGCCGAGGGGTGCGGGGATGCGCTGGGGACACCGGGATGCACTGGGGTACGTGAGGATGCGCCAGGGACACCGGGACGCGCCAGGGTACGTGGGGATGCGCCAGGGACACAGGGATGCACTGGGGGACATGGGGGTGGTCTGGGGGATGTGAGGATGCTCTGGGGGATGCAGGGATGCTCCAGGGAACATGGGGATGCTCTGCAGGGCACAGGGACACTCTGGGGGACCCAGGGAGGCTCTGGGGGATGTGGGGATGCTCTAGGGGATGCAGGGATACTCCGGGGAACACAGGAATGCTCTGCAGGACGCAGGGACACTCCGGGGGACCTGGGGAGGCTCCGGGGGATGCAGGGATGCTCCTTGTCTGCTCGCTGGGAAGGGCAGGATGCTGGCAGCTAACGCAAGCACCTGGAAGCACTCAGGTGCCAAGGAGCCAGTTAAGCCCCGCACTGGGCGATGCTCCATCCTGGAATGTTGCCGGGACCAGGCTCAGGGTCCCTTTGTGCCCCGGCCCATCCCATCGTGCCCCGTCTCCGCTCCCTGCTCACTCCAGGGCAGCAGCGACGCCCGCGCTCGCCCTGCAGCAACCGCCCCCCGAGCTCGGGTGAGTTTAGCAGCTCTGGGGACGGTGACAGCAACCAAGAATTATTTATTCCTTGAAGTAACCAAGGCCCCGGCGAGAGCGGGCGTCATGGGCGCCACCAAGGGCTCCATCCCGAGCCATCCTGGGAGCCTCAAGCCCTGCGCTGCACGGGCAATGTGCTCCATTAAATATTTATATTCCAACTGGGAAGTTCATTTTGTTCATCCCAATCCCCCAAGCCCATCTTAGGGGACACTTGAGGGGTTTTCCATACCCCAGAGAAGTCAACTTCTGAGGTACAATGTCCACCGGAGTCATGGCCCCAGGGACGCTCCAGGCACAGGGATGCTCCAGAGACACAGGATGTCCCAGGGCCACAGGGATGCTCTGGGACACAGGGAGGCTCCAGGGCTATGAGCAGGAGCTGCTTGGTGGCCCATGGGATTGCTGACGGGCACAAGAGGACCCTTGGGGACAGGGAGGGATGTGCTGGAGGCACCGAAATAAAATGGGATCCGGGCAGTGGTGGTGCTGCAGAAGTGACTTCCCTCTTATCGGCTGTCTAGAGAAATTCGCTCCCGCCTGGAAACCTCCAGGGCAGGTTTAATCACGGACTGGATTACAAACCAGCTGCAGCTCACGGCAGAGGCACCTTTTGCTGTTCTGCATTTCCTTAGCGGTGATTATATCCCTTCCTGGTCATCCTGCTCCTACCGCTTTTTCTTTCCGCAGAACAACATGGGCTGTGACGATGCTTCACTTTTAATCCCCGCGATGCAGTTTCACCTTCACACTGCCGCCAAGGACGGTTGTGATCAGCACAGACTCATGCTCAGGCACCCCAATGGGCAGAGCTGCTTATTCAAAATGGGAAAAGGAAAAATAACAATCATTTTTAAAAAAGAAAAACCACAGTTTCTCAAAGCTTTGTGAATTATTCTCTCCCTAGCACCATAGCACCAATGGAGCTGAGGAGGGTGTTTGGGGGCACTGGTGGGAGCAGCAGTGTGGGAGCGTGTCCGGGCTCCGTTCCGCTCGCCAGAGCAGGGCTGGGCTGTGGGAGGTCCATCCCTGCGCTCCGCCGGGAGCTGGCAAAGCACCAATTCTACAGCACGCTGTTTTACAAGAAACTATTGCTTAAAAAGAAAGGTCACTGGCAGCAGAAATTAAAAGCTACGTCCCAAAATGGAGCCACCAGCTACGTACGGCTGCTCGGAAGCTCGTGGGGCAGTGACAAGGAGCAGGGCCCGTGCTCCCCATCAGGGGATGTGCTGGGCCTCGGGAGGCAGTAACTGTCCATGGCACAGGAATCCCGCCTGGAAGACGACGTCGCTCGGCTGCTGGTGGGTCGGACTGTCGTCCAGGAGAGGATGAGCGGGGCCTCCGCGGGCTGCGTCGTCCCACTGTGCGCACGGGCAGGTCCCCGTCGGGAGAGGACGACGGGGTGTCCCAACGCTGCGCGGCCCCGGCGCGAGCGGAGTTGGAGCCCGTCCAGAAGGAGCCATGGACGAGCAGGGTGTCCGAAGGCCGCGCGGACACGGCTGCGAGGGGGCGGGCGGCGG